CGATCTCGAAATCCGTATGGATGGCTTGCGGACCATATCCGTCCAGAGATTCCACCACCAAATCCACCAGTTTGCGATAGCTCGAAGACTTTTTGTCAGGTAAAAGAGCGAAAACTGCTGGTACAACATTCCCATCTGACAATCTGACATGTATCGTGTAGAGCTGAGTGAACATAAGAGGTGAAACTTTGAACGTGCCGTCTACAAACTATTCCGGGCACTCCCGGAGCAGCATCAAATTAGCCGGCGTGGCGAAGACAATAATCCGACATGGGTCATCTGGTCCGGAGTCGTGGAGCAAGAAGAGTTCCCCTTTCAGAGTGAACTGGAAGGATATGAAGATTTCAATATATGGGACAAGATAGATGGAGCAGTAAATTTCATCGATGGAGTACGGCAACTCATTAGTCCGAATACCTTCTCTGCATGCGTGATTACTATATCCTTCAGCGTGCGAGCTACCGTTGTAGGATTCGGATTGACCTTCTTCCGCGTGTAAGACACTTGTTTTCGAAGCAGCCGCAAATTCGGCAATTGTCCTATCACAGCCTCTGAGGTCAGAAGCCCAACCACTTTGTCAACGATATTTGATGTCCTGCTGTCGTCCGAAGCACCCCTAGCCGCCTCATGGAGCTCGTTCAAATTCTTGCGAACAGCGTTGGCAACGATGTCAGGTGCATGGTCGTGGTCAGAACACAACTGTTGTGAGAAAATCTTCGATGAATTATCCATGGATCTCTGGCATGGAAATTTTCTACGGGGATCGAATTGAATCTACTGACCGTGACTACCCCATCCCGTATCTCTGCTCGACTCCGGCATCCCGTCTTCAAACACCGCCACTTCTGACGATCTTGCCTGAATTGAGACCCATCGTGTAGCAACAATGGTTTCCCCCGGCTTGACTCGAGGAATTGCACGGACATGATTAAGCTTGGACCTTTGGAAATACGGTGCGCGAAAGAGAATACGACACACGTCGATGGCCTCCCTCCGACGGCGCGTTCACCGTCGTCATCATAACAGTCTGCATGGAAGTCCGCGAGGAGCGCGCATTTCAAACAGCTCGGTGAACCTGGTATGTATTTCTTTTTGGGGACAGCTTCCGAAAGCTTGTAAATGCAAGACTTTTGAGTATAGAATAAATTGACGATAATCAGATGAACATCCTGGAGAATTATTGATAATCAGAGGTTGAAACGTGAGCCCCCCTGTGCGCTGAAATCGGCCGCGCTCAATTTGATCACGCTCGAATAGGTCGCGCTGAAATCGGCTGCGCTGATATCGGCCACGCTGAAATCGGCTGCGCTCATATCGGCTGCGCTGAAATCGCCCTTGCGCTGAAATCGGTCTCGCGCTCAAATCGGCCCTGCGCTCACATTGACTTGCGCTCAAATGTTTAGCCACCGGCGGCAGGTCCTCGCCCTCGTCGTCCTCGTCGGTCTCGGTACCAAAGACCAGTATCGATCTCTCGAGTCGGATCTCCGACCGGCAAACAGGGCAGCATTCCCCCGCCGTTCCCTCGGCGACCCATCGACACAGGCACGTCCAACACCATAAGTGACCACAAGTGGTCACGACGGCGTTTCGGGCCTCGTCCATGCATACTGTGCATCGCCACCTTGTGGACTCCGGCTGTGCCCTGGCTGGTTCCTCTCCGCCGATCTCATTCACCTGCGGCTCGATTTCCGCCTGAAGTTCCTGTCCCTGTGCGACCACCTCCTCCTGTTCCTCGCCGGCCTGCTCCTCCTGCTCTTCCGGGACTGCCTGATACGGTACCTCACGAATTGGCTGAACCTGGACCTGTATTGAAACGCTGGCTCTCCCTGAGATCATGATGGCCTGTAGCAACTCGATCGCTTCCTGCGACCTGTCGATCGGAGCTGGAGCTCTTGCCTGCCTGGGCCCTCGGTACAGGGCGCACATCCGGACGTAGTGGCCGATCTGATGACAGGCGGTGCACTCCGCGTCACGCGCCCTACAACGTGCCGAACCTGACGTGTGCCTGTTGTCCCCGCAGCTTGTACAACCTTCGCTCTGCATCCTGATCTTCACTGAATCGAGACGTTCGTTGAAGCTTTAATTTAACGACTTGAGACCTTACGGAATCCAAGCACCTCATCGGAATTTCGATCTCTCAGCTCAGCCATGAAAAATTCAGAATTACACCACAGGATTCCCACTCTCTGTGAGAGGGGAGGCAGAACCCTGAACCCATAATATTCATCAACAGAGACCGTGATTCCTGTCTCTCCAATAGAAATTCAATGGAAATTCTATCTTCGGCAGAGCACCTTTGTGGTGCTCAAGCGCCCTCCGGCGGGGGCCTGCCGCACTGCCCCCTGGCGCTGAGCACTGGAAATACGGCTGTGTACAGGCCTACTGCGCACCTAACCGGACTTGTCGCATACCGTTTGGACATGCGAAAAACGAATTCGGAATTGAGCAGCGGACGACGATTCAGTTTATTGAGGAAGTTTCATCGCTTCAATACTCTCAGAAGCTGACTGCTGAAAGTAAATTGTACCCGGAGCCTGACTGCTCCCTCATCCTGAAGACACTCGGACTTAGCAGCTAGGGGAGGTGTTGAGGTTTAGGTAGAAACTGGAAACTACTAGTCCTCGTTCCGTACTAGGACTATGACTCATACCAACCCACGGGGCCATATACCCGTGGCAGTAGTAAAATACGTGAGTCACCGGGGTTGCACCCCGAGGTTACGACTCTAGCATGATACCCTTGAGGTAGTACGAAATTGGGCTAGCACCCCACATGCTGGGTACACCCAATAGTATTCTAGGACGCTACTTATGATAGACCAGGGTAGCCTTATCCTATGTATATGTATGTACGGATCAGGACATGTAAGGAGGAGCTTAGACGCCTGCCTGGGTATAAAAGACCTAAGATTTCGAATAAAATTCACTGTGGTATCTCCCTCTCGTGAGATTGCATCTCTGTGTATTCCTGAACGGGCTGCTCTTCTACTCGTGACCAGAGCTACGAATCTGGACCTTCAACACCGGCTAAATGCGCGGGGCCGTGCGCGAAATTACTATGTGGGGAAGACTAATGACGCATAATGAATTATCGACACATCGATTCGGAGTCAAACTTTGACTGCCGACCGCGATATCGATATATCATGAAATAACATGATCATATGATGTATGGATATGTGAATGTGGCGCTGACTGACAAGATATATGTACAGTGTATTCCGGGAGACAGCATTGATCTACACCTCCTCATACACTTCGAAACGCTGACATCCCTTGACGCCTTCCCTCCTTTGCGGACTCGCGCGAAGTCGGGCTTGAGGACTCTCTCTCGGCTCAAGATGACGCACCTCTCTAACTTCTGAGACCAACATTGGATCTTCCCGTCGTAATCGCATACATATGGAAACAGGCTGATTTCCCTCGTCGCGGCGGAGCTTCCGGCAGTGGCTTTGTGGTGGACCGCCCGCCTTTGCTTCCGTAGCGTTCGATCCCGACCGACAACGACGTTAATAAATTAGTCTTTTCCTAGCCCGTGTGGCCAGAAGACGTGTCATCATTTAGCTAGATCGTAACCTGCTAAAGTGGTGACCCGGACGTGATCACAATGGACCAGGATATCTTTGCAGACACATTCGGAGACCTTCCGGAGGGAACGGGAAACGTCGGACCACGAATTTCCGCCGTGGCACTCAAGCTACCCCCCTTCTGGGCCAGGCAAGCCGCCATGTGGTTCACCACCATAGAGGCACAGTTCAGCATCCGCAAAATCTCCGAGGATCAAACGAAATTCGAGTCCGCGCTCACAGCTCTGGATTCCGACACCCAGGAAAGAGTTGCAGACTTTTTTGATGATCTCCCCGCCCCGGGAAGCCAGTATGCACAGTTCAAAGCAAGGGTACTAGACTCATTCAAGGTGGATCAACATCAGCGTTTGGCGAACCTCGTTGCTCTGACCATCGGTGATGACACGCCGACAAGACTCTTGGACGGAATGCTCGCTCTGTATCAACCTGACATCAACGCAGAAAGAAATCCTTTGTTCCGCTTCCATTTCCTTCAAAAACTTCCCTCTAATGTTCGAGAGCAACTGATGGCGCAGGACCACTTGGAACTTAGAGATTTGGCCAAGCTCGCCGATAAGATAGTCGCCCAACGGCACCTCCCAACTGCTTGCACAGTGCAAGAGGAAGACGAAATAGATGCTGTCCGACGGATGATTCCACCAAAAAAATTCCACCGAGGGCCATTTGCTCAAAAGGATCTTCGAGCATGCAGGTTCCACGTGAGATTCGGCGACAAGGCCAGAAATTGCCTTAAGCCTCGTTCGTGGAAAGGCGGAGTCGCCCCGAATCAGGGACCGAGTCTGCCGGCCGGCAGTGATCGCGCACGCGGCCGGCCCCCAACCGAGAGGCGATCTGTTTTTCGTACAATGCCCTCTCTCCGGACGGCGTTACTTGGTCGACACGGGAGCTCAGGTCAGCATCGTGCCTCCGTCGCCAGACGAACGAAGTTCCCTGAGTAGTCATCATCTCATCGCAGCCAATTACAGCAAGATTAACACTTACGGCATGAAGGACGTCACACTCAATCTCGCGGGCCGTTTCACCCACCGTTGGAAGTTCATTATCGCCGAAGTCAATCACCCAATCCTTGGTTCGGACTTCCCGAGGAATGCTGGGCTGCTGGTTGATCTCCGCGGTCGGAGACTGTTGGAGGATACTTAAACATTCGCGCCATACATTGTAATAACGGAACCACCGAACCGGCCCCTGGAGGGCGCCATCTTACAATAAAGAGCAATTTCCCTTGTGCAAGCCCGCGAGGCTGAAATCCGGAGTGTCCTTAATCTGCATGCCGAAACTAGTTCACTTCTAGCATTGCCACCCTGCCGACCGAATCCAACCATCAGGTTATGGGCCCAGGCAAAGCCGCGGTGGTGACTGAAGTGAAAGTCGTCCGCAGCTGATTTGACGGTGATCATTCTTCGACCAGCGCGCGGAGCAAGTTAAGCCTACTGACCGCGAGGCGAGTTGATCACATCGGAACCGGAAAAACGAGTCTTCGGGATGCCGAACGAAGAAATCAAGATGCTCTCGGCCAACGCGAGTGCGCCGTCATCATTCGAGAAGTTGAGCGGAGCGGACAACTACATGAATTGGCGTTTCGCGATGGAGGCGCATCTGTTCAACACGGAGCTCTGGGAATACGTCGACCGTTCAAAAATCGATGCTCGTCAAGAAAAAGAGCGCGTGGTTCGATCATCTCCGGTATCCAGAGCCAGTTGTTTTCTTCCATCCGTGATTTGAGTACCGGTAAAGAAGTCTGGGATCGGCTTGAAAAGTTGTTTCAGCCGCGTGGACTCTACCGTGAGGTGGCGCTTTTGGAGGAGCTCACCAGCATTCGATACTCTGACTGCCCGAGCATGGAAGAAAACTTGAACAGGAAGGTGACGGCTGCGCAACGTCTCCGAGCCATTGACAGCAATTTGAAGGACCGTCTCCTAGCCGGCTTGATTCTTATGAAACTACCTGAGGAGTTCACCCCCTTAATTCAGAGCATCTCTGGCTGCGACCAAGATATCTCCACAGAGTTCGTGAAGGAACGTCTTCTCGCCGAGGCAGCTCGTCAGAACCTCCAGAAGCAGGAAAACGCGCTGTCAAGCAATCAGTTCCGCACAAGCCATCGGCATCCGCCCCAGAGAGACAGTCGACCTAATGTGAGAACACCGCGGAAGAAGTTCCGCGGCAGGTGCAATCGGTGTGGAAGAATTGGTCATATGGCGAAACATTGCGATAACTCAGGAGCCCAAGGACGGATAGCTGAAGTTCTCCAACCGGACGAGCGTGTCGAGCGTGTACTGAAGTGCTCCCCCGCTAGCCCTACGGAATGGATCGTAGATTCCGGTGCCACTTCACACATGACGGGTCAAAGAACACTCTTCCTGTCACTGTCGGAGGAAGTTCTCGACCGATCCGTCGCCACCGCGAATGACGAGATGCTTAGATGCGAGGGGATCGGAGATGTCCAGATCACATGCGTCTTCGATGACGGAGAATGCCCAGTCAGACTCCGAGACGCACTGTACGTACCCGGACTCACGGTCAACCTGATCTCAGTGAAACAGTTGACAGCCAAGGGTTTCAGCGTGACTTTCGACAAATCCGGACGATGCGAGATGAGAAACTTCTCCGGTGAGCTGTGCGCGACCGCGACCTGCAGCGGAAATAGCCTGTACCGGCTGGATCGCTGCTCGAAACGAGTGTTGAGAACTGAGGCGAGGGACGCTTCGCTCTCGGTGACATCTACCAAAAACTACGAACTATGGCACAAGAGACTCGGTCACCTGCATCCGGACGCAATAAGAAGAATGTCAAATGGACTCGTTGACGGCATAAAGTGCGAAATACCCAGAGAAAGGCCCGTGTGTAAGGCGTGCAGCGAGGGAAAGCAACACAGAAAAAGTTTTCCAAATTCGTCAACAACCACCAGCAGTAGATTGGAGCTCGTTCACAGCGACGTATGCGGTCCGATGAGCATGCCAAGCGTTAGCGGCCATCGATACTTCCTAACTTTCATCGATGATTTCTCGCGCATGACGACCGTCTACTTCATGAAGTCCAAAACGGAAGTTCACGAGAGATTGGTCGAGTTCATACGTTTCGCGGAGAGGGCGACCGGATGCAAGCTGAAGACACTAAGAACCGACAACGGTACAGAATATGTGAACAGCAGGACATCGGAATTCCTACGAAAGAACGGAACTCGACACGAGACAACCGTCGCCTTCACACCGGAGCAGAACGGGAAGGCCGAGGTGGTCAACCGGATCCTCGTCGAGGAAGCCAGATCACTGCTTGCAGACGCCCATTTGGAGCAGAAGTATTGGGCTGAGGCACTCAACACGGCCTGCAAACTCAAAAATGTTAGCCCCGTGACATGTCTCAAGGATAAATGTCCCGAAGAAGCCTGGACTGGGAGAAAACCCAACCTCTCCTATCTTCGAATCTTCGGCTGCCTCGCATATGTCCACATCCCCAAAGAAAAAGAAAGAAATGGGACTTGAAGTCACGACCGCACATATTCGTCGGCTACAGCCAAGAATCGAAAGCCTATCGTCTGATCCCGTTGGAAGATAGGACAAGCATAATCAAGGCCAGAGACGTGGTCTTCGACGAGTCCGGAATGGCTCTCCGATCAAGCAGCAGATCGAGGTCTCCGAGTGAAGAAGACGACCCGGAGGAGTTCATGGTGTTGCGCCGTGAAATCGCCATTCCAGAAAACACTCCCGAGCAGGACAACGACGATCCAGAGACCGAATATGAGGACGCAGAAGGCCCCCCGAGCAACAACGACAAGAAAAGCGGCGAGGGAGTCCCCGCACAGCGTGAGGATTTACCTCAAACAAGTCCACAGCTGAGAATATCGAGCCGGCTCGCCAAGCCTCCCGCATGGAAAGAGGACTACGCTTGCGCTTGCGGAGAGATGACCGATGGGACGACTCGAGACATCTTGGAGGATCCCGAGGCCCCTGGTTCAGTCCGAGAGGCCCTTTCAGGTCCGCACTCAGACGAATGGAAGCGTGCGATGGATCGAGAGATGAAATCTCATCGAGACAACCGAACGTGGGAGATCATTGAGAGACCTCCCGACGAGAGGATCATCACGTTCAAATGGGTTTTCAAGGTGAAACGCGACGAAAAGAACAGAATCGAGATATTCAAGGCACGTTTGGTGGCGCGCGGTTGGAGCCAGGTCCAGGGAGTGGACTTTGACGAAAACTTCTCACCTGTCGTGAGGATCGTTTCTCTCAGAGCCTTATTCGCAAGTGCAGCGCGGAACGGCTGGATGGTCCACCAGCTCGACGTTGAGACAGCGTATCTCCATGGAATCCTGAAGGAACGCGTGCTGATGCAGGCCCCGGAGGCATACGGTCAACAGGGCAAAGTGTGCCTTCTGAGAAGATCCCTCTACGGACTCAGGCAGGCCGGAAGGCGTTGGTTCGAGAGACTTTGTGAGGCCCTGTCTAGTTCGGGACTGGAGGTCACTGCGGCCGATCCGTGCCTGTATCACCTGCGCAGGGACGGCGGGATCCTTTTCCTGTCCGTATACGTTGATGACCTTCTGATTTTCACGAACAGCTCGGCATTGTTCGAAGAGGTACGTTCAGAACTCGGAAGGGTGTTCCCGCTGAAGTATCTTGGGCTCGCGAAATATTGCCTGGGAATCCACGTCACCCAGCAGCCAGACAGAAAAACGATACTGCTGAGCCAGAGGGAGTACATCAACAGGATGCTGAAGCGGTTCAATCTCACCGAGGCGAAACCTGTTTCAACACCGATGGAAGTTGGTCTCAAGTTGGTTAAGAGATCCGACCCGGTCGAGAATCAGGGAGACGACGGCGCGTGCGTCGAGCCGAACCGTGAGGCAGTGGGGTGTTTTATCCATCTGTCTCAGATCACTCGTCCGGACATTTGTTTCGCGGTCGGAGTCGTCAGCAAGTTCAGCGCGAACCCATCGAAAGAACACTGGTCAGCCGTTAAGAGAATCTTTCGTTACCTCAAGGGCAGCAAAGATCTTCATCTGAAGTTCACCGGCCACGATGACAAACCCATGGAAGCGTTCAGCGACGCCGATTGGGGCGGGTGTCACGACTGTCGGAAATCGACGACGGGATACTGTTTCCTGCTCGCCGGTGCCTGCATCTCTTGGAACAGTCGCAAACAGCCTACCGTCGCATTGTCATCAAGCGAGGCCGAGTATATGAGCATTGGAGCCGCCGGTCAGGAAATAAAGTGGTTGCTCAATTTTCAAGAGCTGCTGCCGAACGAGATCAAGAGGCCAGACACATTGTGGAACGACAACGAGGGCGCAATCCTACTGAGTGCCAATGGCGTACATCATAAGAGAATGAAGCACGTCGACCTCAGACATCATTTTATCCGCGACATGGTCCCGGAAGGTCAACTGAAAATCGAATATATGCCAACCAACGAAATGATAGCCGACATTTTCACGAAGAGCTTGTGCTCCCAGAAGTTCTGCTATTTTAGATCAGCCCTCGGGCTCCATCCAATTAGTTCATAGTTCATTGTTATGGGTAGAGTCGAGAAGGGGCACAAATCGAAGAATAGTTTGTAACGATCTCAATGTCGGAATATTTCAGCTAGGGAGGGTGTTGGAGGATACTTAAACATTCGCGCCATACACTGTAATAACGAAACCATCGAACCGGCCCCTGGAGGGCGCCATCCTACAATAAAGAGCAATTCCCCTTGTGCAAGCCCGCGAGGCTGAAATCCGGAGTGTCCTAAATCTGCATGCCGAAACTAGTTCACCTCTAGCATTGCCACCCTGCCGACCGAATCCAACCATCAGAGACTGATCGACAGCTTTTCACTTGTTCAGATTCCCTTGAAGGTAGCACGCTCTCGCAACGACATCAGCATTCTCACAAAGCCAAGCACCGAGTACGAAGCACTTCTCTTGAAGCTCCCAACGGTGCTCACACAAAGCTTCGACACAGAGGTCAAGCACTAGGTGAAGCATCATGTGGTAACCACCGGTCCGCCAAGACACTCGAGGGCGCGCCGTTTGGCTCCCGACGTCCTGCGGGCAGTCAAGGAAGAGTTCCGGAATCTCGAAAGACTTGGGATTATCAGGAAGTCGTGCAGTCCTTGGTCGAGTCCACTCCACATAGTTCCGAAGGCTGATGGCTCTAGAAGGCCTTGCGGTGATTTTCGTCAAGTCAACGATACGACGGTTCCTGACAGATACCCATTACTCACATCCATGATTTCGCTGCAAATCTCCATGGTTGCACGATTTCCTCAAAGATCGATTTGGTGAAGGGCTATCACCAAATCCCCATGGCTCCCGAGGACATTCCGAAGACGGCCATCCAGGCGCGTTTCCAGAATTTTTTTTTGGGGGGGGGGGCAAATTTTTTTCCGAGGACTATCTTTAGCTGGCTGGAGAGAATCGATCCCGTGTACTGCGCTCACAATTCATGCGATTGCTGTCGCATGCTGACTGTTTCGAGAAGAAACTGGTAAGTTCTCCCTGACCTTTCATCATGAGAGCTCTTCGAATCTGACTGACGATTCCTCAGTCGCGTTCGCCGTAGAAATCCGCCCTCGATCGACCTAGTGTCATAATGGGGTCACGCTAGAAACTCGAACCGCCGTGAATGTCCCCAAAAGTCATGGTCTTATTTCGGAGAGAAAGAGTTCAGCCGTCCACCGAATCGTCAACGCGCTCAAGTTCGAAAGATAAGGCGCTGACGTTTTTCGATGAATGAAAACCTAGAAATTTTATTTTCGAAGTCCGACTTAGATAGTATGAAGCCGGAAATTTTGGGGGGGGGCCATGGCCCCCTCGGCCCCCACCCCTGGATACGCCTCTGCGGTCATCATCACACCTTTCGGCCTCTGGGAATACACGAGGATGCCCTTCGGGCTACGGAACAGTGCGCAGACTTTTCGAGGACTCATCGACTCCGTCCTCAGCGGCCTTCCGTTCATATTCGTCTATCTCGACGATGTCCTTGTGGCGTCGAAAAGCAAAAAGCAACATCTTGAGCATCTGGAGATTCTCCTAGAGCGACTCCGAGATAATGGAATCGTCGTTAACGCGGAGAAATGTCGCTTCGGCCTGGCGGCACTCGACTTCCTCTGGCATTGAGTCACACGTGACGGAATCAGTCCATTACTCGAGAAGGTTGAAAGCATTCGCGCTTTTCCTCAGCCCAAGACGATGCTTGATCTCCAACGATTCATCGCAATGGTCAACTACTATCATCGGTTCCTTCCGCAAGCGGCCAAGGTGATGTTTCCCTTGTACGAAGCCTTAGACGGGAATCAGAAAGCAAAGAACAAAGCTGTCCAATGGGACGAGGGGAGCCTCGCTGCATTTCATGCAACTAGAGAACTCCTGGCACGAGCGACTCTCCTGGCACACCCCGCGGAGGACGCACATCTCGCAGTCGTTACGGACGCTTCGGACATTGCAGTGGGATTGGCCCTTCCACGACAAGAGCAGCATGGACAGTAGGAACCTCGCCGATAGCGGTCGAAAGAAACAAGCTCTACAAAAGCGGCAGAAGCTTGCTTCGATCATAAGGACCGTGTTGTTCTGCGGTAGGCAAGGCCTAGCTCTCCGAGGCCATCCAGAAGACTCAGATGTGATGGAGGAATCGACTCAAAATGATGGTGATTTTCGAGCGCTCCTCCGATTTCGCATCGAAGCCGGCGACACTTGCCTACAAGAACATCTTCTCAATGCCTCGGGGAAGACTCGTTACATCAGCGTGCGAATCCAGAACGAAATAATCGACGGGATTGGGAAAATTTTTCGAAAAAAAATCTCAGCCGCGGTTAAAGAGTCTGGCTTCCTCTCGATTCTTGCGGATGAAACGAGGGATAGTAGCAGAATCGATCAGCTAACGCTCTGCTTACGCTACGTAGTCTGGCGAAACGGTCGAAGAGTTGTTGTGGAAAAATTTCCAATGTATTGTGAAGTTTTCGACAAAACTGGTGCTGGTCTGGCTGCGAAAATCCCCGAGAATCTCTCCGCGGAAGGCATCGATGTCTCGAAGATGCGAGGACAAGGATACGACGGATGCAGCGCAATGTCGGGTCGATTCAAAGGCGTCCAAACTGTGATTAAAGCGAGAGTCCCAGAAGCACTGTATGTTCATTGTTCTAGTCACAGACTAAATCTCGCCGTTGTACATGCTTCTGAATGCAGTCTGATAAAAAACACGGTCGGAACAATCGGGAACGTATGTGCATTCATATCCAATTCTACTTCTCGGATCAAAATACTCGAAGAGCAAGTCGTTCTTCACTCCGATACCACCACCGCTCGTCGACTGAAACCCTTGTGTTCGACTCGTTGGGTCGAAAGCCATCAGGCGTTCATCAGATTCAAAGATATGTATGTTCGTCCTTATTGTGAGGGCTTTGGAGGAAATTTCGACGAAGGCAAACGATACTGGCCGCGCCAACGAGCTCCTATCAGCGCTTTGTAAGTGCGAATTCGTGACCGCTCTTGTGGTAATTGAAAGTTTCTCTGCCGTTCTCCTCCCCTATCCGTCGCTCTATAGTCCCCCGAGCTCGATTTACTGAGCGCTATCGAAACCGTAGACGTCCTGGCAGCCGTCTTGCAACAGCGCAGAGATGACGCGGAGACGAGATTCGCTGAATTGTTCGAGGAAATCGAAAGAATATGCTCTGATATCGGCGTCGAAATCGAACTCCCGAGACGGTGTGGAACACAGGGACACAGGGAGAACCATCCATCGCGAGCTACAGAAGAGTACTATAGGGTCAGTCTGTACATTGTAAACCTGGATCAGCTGATACAAGAATTCAATTCTATTTTCGCAGACTGCAGAGCAGAAGCCTTAAAGATTCAATTTCTCGTGCCGAAATATGTGGAGAAAGGCCAGTTCTGCGACTTGAGTCAAGCGCTAGATTTCTACAAAGATGACCTGAGTTGCAGCATGAGTGTTATTAGTGCGGAGTACGAGCTTTGGAAATATTTATGGTCGAAAGTTCCAGCCGAAGAAAGGCCCGGGAACGCTTTGAAAGCTTTGAATCAATGCTCATCGATTGACTATCCAAAAATCTCGATTTTACTCCAAAACGCCACCCTCCCAGTGACGACGTCGACAGCTGAGCGCACTTCCAGCGTACTCAAATTGCTGAAAACAGATCTTCGGAGTACGATGAAAGGAGAGAGATTGAATGGCTTGACGGCGTTGAAAATTCATCGCTTACTGTTGAAGAGATTTTGGACTACATGGCGGCTGATCCGAGAAAGCTTGAAATGGTTTTGTGAAGTAGTTTCGGGGAAGTAAATTAATACTCGAATAGTTCGAAGGTTGTGCTATTTGTGATGGATTAAAATCTGAAGTTCCTGCACTCCCCTCACTTATGGTCATGATTGTAAGTACGGTGTTTCGTGCTTTATCTCGAGAATCACCATCTCCGGACAAAATCGAGAAATTGTTCTTTTTGATGCGACTCAAGAAATCGGCTGCCCCCCCCCCCAAAAAAAATCGTATGGACGCGCCTGACTGAACGGCAAGGAGGACCACGTGACGGTTGACCGTCTGAAGCGAGCAATTCTGGACGAAGATCCGCCAGGCAGGTCGATTCCCCCAGAGCCAAATCCTCCAGCAACGCCAGTAGACACTCCGAGACGTTCTGGTCGACGCACTCGACAACCGGCGCGCTTTCGTGATTTCACCAACCAGGTCATGTTCAGGGCAACACTGGGGGGAGGTCTGTGGTGGACCGCCCGCCTTTGCTTCTGTAGCAATCTAATCCCGACCGACAACGACGATAATAAATTAGTCCCTTCCTAGCCCGTATGGCAAGAAGACGTATCATCATTTAGCTAGATCGTAACCTGCTAAAGCTTCGATTCCGGCCCGGCTGGCTGGATCTTCTTCGGTCGGTGGATCCCTCGGATTGACCCCGCTGCTGCGGCCGCTGGTACTGCTGCTGCCGCTGCTGCTGGTGCCTTGCGCCGCTGCGGGGGCACTCGCGTTCACAATGATGCCCTTGTCTTGAGGCCATCCGATGCGAAGAAACACCCCTCCTGCAATCATTATAGCCATTCTTGATGAGTATTGGGCACTTCTTAACTCAATAGCTGGAAATTGAGGCGCTCAAAATGGATCATCACTCGGACTTCTAATCACCTTGTCGGGATTAGCAGAATTGGAAGCTGAGAATCCTCAGACTCGGTAGCGTCACGTCGGTGTGACTCATCCTCGTGGGTCATACAATCGGGGTTCTGTTAGGAATCCGTGAGGATCCTGAGCATAGGCTCACTGGGAAAGGTACTCAGTCGGCAGGAATCCACTGTTTGCAGTTTAGAGTTTGTTTCGGCACAATGTTATGATGATCTCCGAGGGTCGAGGGCTGGCAGGGAAGCTACTCAGGAATGAGAACGCAAGGGATGCGTGCGACAGAAGAATCTGTGTTTGATGTTTATTTGAATGCTGCTTATATACCGTCTGGATTCCATAGGCCAGTATAGTGAAAAAAGAGGAGTCTTCCAGAAAAAGGTGACCACCTTTTTTCTGTGACAATCGATCGGAGTTTTTGGCTCGTATACTGAAGTGTCATAAACACTTACTTCTGAAAACTTTTAAGACAGTAATGGAAACGCCTTTGTTCACAGAAGGAAGGCAATTTCCTAACAGGTTCTCAATCCCGGTTCCGACATAAGCTAAATGATAGTCCGCTAGTACGAAAGGGGGACTTAAGATTGCTAGAGTGAGTCACCCATTGGGTGGCTCCCAAGATATTGTACGGAGACTCATCCAGCCTATGTATGTAGGTGAGCATGGTGAAGGGGGTGGAGCTCGCCCCACCCTAAGTCTTATATAAAGAGGATACAATCCGACTAAATTTTAATGTGGTGTCTCCCCTGTTGTGAGACTGTACTCCTGCCTGTTCACTTCGCTCGTTGAGCTAGAGTGTTTCCTCACTATCCGAACTTCCCCTCAAACCAGCCTGTTTCAACTTTCAACACACCCGATACGATTCCAAAGAGCTGCAGTGCGACCAGGGTCAACCACCACCAGCCTTCTACGATCTTCCACCAGGTTTATTTGGTATCCTCGGCCGGGCGTTCTGGTTCGACAGCTTGCTCCGAGTCGGCTCCGATCGGAATGTCCTCCATCGAGATGACCACGCTCTCTGAATCCGACGGAACTTCTGCGTTCGCGCTGTCGGCCGGCGACTGAATCTCCGGCTCTTTCGACTCAGGGCTGGAGCGGACGGAGACTGNGACCCCCTCTCCTCGAGAAGAGCGACTGCTCTCCGGTACGCCTGTCTCATGGCCCACCCTCCGATCTAGGCCACATACCCCAGTGCCGTGACCGCCAACTTGAGCGCACCGAAGATTCAAGCGATTGTGCATTTCGGCGCGAAGTTGATCCGAGCGCGAAGGAGCCTGCAGCGCAGCGTCGATTTGAGCACAACGTACGGTTGAGCGCATGCCATTTTCGGCGCATGCTTCCCGGAGCGCAACGAAAATTTGAGCGCAGTGTCGATGTGAGCGCAGCGTCGATCTGAGTGCAGCGTTAATTCGAGCGCAGCGTACGGTAAAAGCACAAGGCCTTGTAAAATTGAGTTTTGAGACTGACTGGGTTTTTAAATCCAGTCAGTATGGCCCCCAGAATATGGCCTAATTCTGGGGGCCTTCTTGCCAATCTCACATTCATCAATGAGCATACAGTACTAGGTTTTCATCGATGAGAATTTCCTCGATGGAATTCCCGTGGCGTCGCAAACGCGAGAACTTCACGCTCATTATTCGCAGCACTATATGGCGAACATTCTATAACGAGCTGTCCTGAGCGGAGATGCGCGCATCATAGAAACGTGCACCAAACGACGTCTCGCTGAAATTATCATTCTGCGCGATGTCAACCAAGTGAGCCAGGCTGAGTTCATTCGCGGCAATCGATGCATCTTTTCTCCCGAACCGGTGGAAGCTTAACATGAGCTGCGAAATGCCTCTGAAGTTCGTGACCTCAACCAGAGGTAGGCCAATGCTTTGTGTGGGAGGTTTTGTCTTCCGCAAAGACCGAAGCACGCTTGATAAGACAACGTGGCGTTGCGAGGAGGAAACTTGTCGAGCTCGCATCAGCACCGCGGACGGCACTCATAGTGTGAGTCATAACGGAATCGAGGATCCGCGAAATTTTTATGAAGCATCCAGAACTATTTTGAGCATGAGCCCCCGTGTGACTTAGAGTGGTAGCGACTTTTCGGTCCTTCAAGCCAAGACTTTCCCTCCAGGATCCACCTGAACACATGCACGCCCCGGATTCAGTCGGAATCGATGTCCGCGAGAGATTAGATTGCCTACGTAAATCTGCGGTTCAGAAGACCTACGCGAAGTCGACCGCGTTGGTTGCCGCAGCTGTCAGCGAGGTCAGCTCACGCTCGACGCTGGGCAGTTTGCCGAGACCAGACCTACTCCGAAGACAGGTCTTGCGCGCGAGAAAACGAGAATATTCCTCGATGCATCCGACGAACCCCTTACGAAGAGAAGACTTGGTGATTCCAGATTTTTTGAAGGTATGCGTTTGTATGCCCGAAGATTGCCTTCGTCGAAGTCCTTGACACCTTTCTTCCGTCTATGCTCTCCATGTTACAGATGACCACCAAAGGCGACCCCTTTTTACTGTACGACTCTGGGGAAGGGGACTGCGAAAGGATGATAATCTTCGCCACCCCCGATAATCTCGAGCTACTGAAGACATGCGGCGAGTGGTTCTTAGACGGAACCTTCAAAGTTTGCCCCCTGATTTTTCATCAGATGTACAGCGTCCTCGTGAAGATTTCCGGCTCTCACAAAACTGTTCCCGTCGTGGATTCCTTGATGCCGGGGAAAACATCGAGAACTTACAGACGATTTCTGACAATCCTGACCAGCTTCCTCGATGACTTTCGGCCAGAGGTACTTC